CTCCAATGATTTATTTTGGTTACTCAATTCTCTCCTCAATTATTCAATTGGAGTTTAAGGGACAGATACATACGTTTGAGACTCCGCATCCAATTCAAGACCATTAGGTCCCAAAATCGAGACCCATTTTCAGACCAAAACAGCTGCTGATAACTGGCCCATAAAGGGCAACTGCGTCCAAGATTAGACTTTATGAAAGCCTTCTTTTCTATAGCTAGCAGTTACTAAGTAATTCTCTGCCTTAAATGGTCCTTCAGAAAACTAGCACAGCACGAAAAAAGGATTTACGTCATATTTACGCAGTGCAAATCTGAGATAATTTGATGCGAACATATAGCAAATACAGAGCAATGGGAGGTAAACGCCACATTTGCTTATACATTTGCTATCCGGTGCAAAATGTATGAGCAAATGTGGCATTTACAACCCATTTTTTATATTTTCTATATGTTTGCACCTAATTTTTTTAGATTTGCACTGAGCAAATATGGGGAAAATCCAGTTTTTCGTGCAGTGTAGAATCTGTCAAAATACCTCGTCTTGATTCCAGATGGCCTTCAGTATTCGATGGCTTGTAATAATGCTCTCCGTGATATGTGAGACACGACAGCCAAGAAGGTCTCAATGAAGTGATGTCTTGTATTAGTAACGGTCAACATTTTTGCCAATTCACGCGGCTAACGGTTAATAACTTTTCATCGTTGTCACTAGACTTTTCTTACAGTTGCATTTACAACTAACGTTAATGGTTAAATTCTGTCAATTTTGTATTCCCAACAGCTACTTGTTTTGGCCGTTGTACGGGTAACGGTTAACCCCAATGAGGCCCTCAGCTAAGAACGAACCTTAAAAAAATGCTCTCAGTTAACCAAAACTTGAATTCAACAATTTTTCTTTTTTGAAAGGATTTTTTTTAGAAGAAATACACGAGAAGGAAATATAATTGTGCAGTATTTAGACAGTAATGAGAGACGAGATTTTCGGTTTTTCCTCCAGCATACTAGTAGCTGTTCGTTTTCGTCTTGAACTAAATCTTTCGTGTGGAAATTCAATCCACTCATGACAAAATATATTGTTCACGTGCGTAGGATCTCAAAATTAAACAGTGACTCTGCTATTTCATGTTAAATGGTAAAAAATGGTACAGCTGCCGATGTATTAGTTGTTTGGCTATAACATAATAGCGGAGCTCGCAGCGCGCGCAGCGTAGCCCCATAATTATACAAAATGGTAGTTGTTACCCATCAACCCGAAAAAATTTGGACCTATGACCGGACGAGCGTCCGTACAAGGTATTACTTTTGGTATGTACGGTCAACTTAACCGCGGGCATGCCAACGCCACGGCTTTGTCCAGTAGTCCAGTGGTCAGTGCACTGGGCTTCGAGTCGGACGACCCGGGTTTGAGTCCCGGCCGGGGCAAAGCGTTTGCCTCAGGAGACGCGCGGGAGAAAAATTGCGAGCTCTGCTTTCAGGCTTGGCTAAATCTTTATACGACTTAGAAATTGACTATATGCCGAATGTGAAGCAGATATCGAAGACTATTGACCAAGAAGGAGGATAGAATTGCTAATATTGCTAGACGTAGGAGAAAAAATGTTCAGTAAATACAGTGGGAA